ATATAGTTATAAATAATTGGTAAAAATAAATTTGTAATTATACCAATTTTGTGACTATAAAGGAGGTAACTATAGAGAGATTTGACTATACTTATATTGTAATTGAAATAAAATAATGAATTAATACATGCTTATTATATATAAGCTTCTATATATAGTATAATCCTGCTCTAAGCAATAAGATACAAAGAAAAATATATTTGTATACAAAGTAGCAATAAAAAACTTATAATTTATTAGTACTTCAGTTTGAACAGATTTGAGTATTATAATCTCTTTAACAACAAATTTCATATTGCCTAAAATATAATTCTTGTATATTTGATATCTTATTTAGATTAATAGTAGCTACTTTCTCACTAGAATTACTTTCTTTATCTGATTCATATATTGAATATGTTTGGGTATTGTAATCTGTTTGATAACAACTTTCATATTGCTTTGAACTTACTTCTTATATATTTGATATCTTATCTGGACTAATAGTAGCTACTTTCTTACTAAAGTCACTATCTTTATCAAATTTATATATTGAACATGTTTGGATATTATAATCTGTTTGATAACAAATTTCACATTGCCTCAAACTTACTTCTTATATATTCAATGCCTTACTCGAACTAATAGTAGTTATTTCTTACTAAAAATATTTTTACCAGATTTATATATCCTTTGTTTTTTACCTTTGCTCTTTATATATAATGTATCATTAAATCTTTTTCTCTTTTATACTTTCATCTCTTTGTTTTAATACCAACAGAGTTACTAATTGTACAACTAAAATTGGTAATATTATTGCTTTATCTCATAATTTGACCCTTATTTTTTGCTATTTGAATTTCTATTTTTTTAGAAAGATTTAGATGAAACTCATAGAGTTCTTTAGCCTACTCATTATAATTGCTAGATCAAGAGTTTTTTATCAATTCAAATTCTCTTCTCTATTGTTGCTTACGCATTAACTTATAATGTACTTTATTTGTAAAAATATGATATCTATAAATATATTTTAAATATAAGAAGTTAACTTGTATATTAATTTTTGTTGAATAAAATTCACTATTCGAAACTAAAGTAATTACAAACTCATTTGCTTGTATAGATAATTGGTCAATATACCATTTTTGTGGGATAAGACTGATATGAAATTTTGTAGCTACAGAAAGAAGCATTATTACAAAAAAGTGCTAATACACAATACTACAATTGATAAGTATTAGATATGTACAAAGATATGCTGCATCATCATAAAATATAACTAAATGATTAGTTCTTCTATCAACTAATATAATATACCAGATTTCATAAATTTTAACCTACTCAAGATTATTGATCAGTTGTTCAAGCTCAATTATTCGTGTATCAAATATACTTTCTGAGAATATACTTTTCAATAGGTTATTTGTATCTTACAAATAATAATAATAAAAGATAATAATATACATATTTTATTAAATATATAGAGGTTTTGTCTTGAAAATAACTTTATAGAACATAGTAAATACTATGTTCTATAAGATTATTTTTAGGACAAAGAACTATATTTTAATAATTTGATATCTGTTATCTAAATTTATTATTTAAACTAGTTATATAGCACCAATAATATATACTATAATTCATCTTATCTTATTAAAGCTTAAGAATTGCAGATATCAAGAATTTACTATATATCTCATTAATCTTTTTAAAGTATCTATTAGAATAATTTTTTTCTTGACTTACAGAGAGCTTACTAATAGTTTCATTTAAGTATATAAAGCAGCTCTCTTTGGCTAATAATTTTTCAACAATATATTCAAGCTCCAAAAGAGATGATAATCTATTAACATTATTTTTATTATAGTATTGTATAATTCAACATGTTGTGTACTTTGCATATCTGCATTGAATACACAGTATATAAAGTACAATGCCTATACCTCTTGATAACTACATCACAAAAATTTGCAAGAGGATTAGCATTGATTTTTAACAGTTATTAAATAAGTATCGATTTAAATCTCTCTCACCGATTTCTATCGATTTAGATAGAAATCGATAGTAATCCTGCCGATTTCTATCAATTTAAATAGAAATCGATAGTAATTCTGCCTATTCTATCAAGTTAGATAAATCCCAATTCGTATCAATTAACATATAACAATTTCAATTAAATTTTTCTAATTATACCAATATCGATATTATTATACTGTAAACTTATTATTCATATTTAGTAAATTAATACTAATAAATCAAATATTTACTTTTTACTATAAAAATAATGTTTATTGCAATAGAATTTATTAATTGAAAATTAAAAAATACAAATCGCTAAATTATATACAACGAACATAACTAATTAAAAATTAAAAAATACAAATTACTGAATTACATGCAACGAACATAACTAATTGAAACTAAATTAATCACGCATAATGGTCGAGACCAAACAATTCATCCATATTTTCTTGTGAAAGAAGAGCCTAGAACTACCCTGAGAAAGAGTATTAGATCCTAATTCAGGAGTATTTGCCCGTGATTCAGAGCGGTGCTGAACCTTTGCTTCATCTATAATCATTTCTGATAAATTATAAGAGAGTCTATCATTATTAAAATTATTCTATATTAATTAAAATATTAGTATTGTACAATAATCTTAAAATAAAGAAAAACATTAAATATATACAAGATAGTTTTCAATATGACATTTCATATTTTTCTTGTTGCATATAATACTTTTAGATTTTGGATACAAGAATACATCATACACCGTGAGTGCAAAGGTGCAATGTTCATTCGTTAGATTAGGAACTATAACTTTTGAAAATGCAGACCTGGGTGTGGCGACATAGTGTAGTTGGCAAGTTGTCACCCCCCCAAATGGCAGGTCTAGGGTTCAAATCCCACTGGCGACGATTTTGAAAA